TTGCCTGCCTGCCTGCCTGCCTGCCTGATTGCCCCTAACCACACTGCCTGCCTGCCTCATTGCCCCTAACCATTCGTCTGCTTGCCTGATTGCTCCTAACTGCTCGCCTGCCTGCCTAATCACCCCTAACTGCCTCTGCCTCGCCACCGCCGCTTCATCCGGAAGGACGTCCAGAATGACGTCCAGCTGTCCAGTCTAATTAGCATATTACACTTTTATTATTATAGAAGATATTGAGGACATGCACAGAAAGGAAAGAATTTTACAAATGAAGATATTATTTCACTAGAATGGTAATCCTCCTTTCTCCAGTTATTTGTTTTCCCAAATCTGTACAGTTTACTTTCTACACACACCTTCCTTTAGCTACTGGAAGTACTGAGGAAAACTGGAAAAAGTTTTGAATGTTCACAGGAAGCTTCTGTGATTAAAGTGGAAAGATCACCAGGCCTGGATCACAAGTCTTCTTTTCCTGTTCCTGACAATGATGGTTTCACATTAGGTAAGTTATCTAACTAATATACAGGGTTGGGCCTAAGTAGGTTTACAGTGTGGAGTATGTGAAAAACAGTTTATTCTTATATTATTATTTATTAATTATTGTATTATTTTCCATACGAACAACTGTAAATCCTACTTTTGTTATTATGGTTCTTTTTAAAACCAAGAAAGACACATTGAGGTGAATCTGACTATTATAATTATATAAAGAAGGACAAAACTTGTATTACACTTAGATTGCTTTACTTGTGATTCTCCTCTCACCCTAGCCCTAAAGGCTGTCCTTATGTGAATGAAATTGAATGTGTACCTGTTTCAGAAAAGTAGGATGTAGTTGGAGGGATGGAGAAGAGCTGTCTACGCAATACATATTGTGTTTTCAAGTTTCAGAGACTTAAAATTATCTCAGGCGATCCAATTGTTTTAAAAAATCAGTATCAAAAAGGGTGGTAAGTACACTTATTCATTCAGTTTTTCCTATGCATTTTCAGATTTACATATAAATGCAGATTATAAATGGTGTAGTCATATTTTAAGAAGGGAATTTTGAAAAATCTAGTTCTTTTGTGTATTATCTGAATATGCAACATGAATGAGAAACCAGAATAATCTGTATAGGATCACATTTCAAACTTCAAAGAAGTTTTTTAAAACTTCTTTGAATCAAGAGAAAATATGATAAATAGTACATCTCAAATTACTTTCCCCTAAAGTTAATAGTTCCTAAAAGGCAGAAGTTAAGTCAGCTGGAATACTGAAGATGACCAATTGTCTGGTTGACTCTGTGCAGTGGCACCTTCTGATGGCCTGCGAGGGGGACTGTCAGACCTAAAACCTATTCTGCCATCATCTTTCCTCTCAGGTAAGTGGTTAGGGTGGGGAAGAGGAGGGAGACAAGCAAATCAAAACCACTGAGACCTTCACAGAACTACACATGCCTTTGTGCCAAGCTAGAGGAGGGAAGGGTAGAGTGTAAAAGAAAGAAAAAAGAAAAAAAGCCCTACAGAGGTGAGTCTGATAAATCTGACTTGTAGCCCTATACCTTTCTCTCTTGAGAGACACTGGAGTACAGGTTTAACACCAGGAGGCAGAGGAGGCAGAACCATGATGTGCTCTGTCTGTAACTCTTCCACATTAATAGCATGATCAATTCCACTTCCGGCCAATTCTCACACAATTACTCCATCCCCAGACAGTGCTCTCCCCCTCTAAGCACTTCTCTAATGGTGACTCTAGGAAAAACTGCTCCTATCTTCATTCTAATTATGAATTAAACATTAAGATCTAATCAAATCAAGATGGAGTTACTACAGAGTTGTAGTGTTAATGATAATGTCTATCCAGGAAAAGGGAAGGCTGTAGTTGAACAGAAAATATACAAAAGAGCCATTAACCTACTAAGTCCTTGAACATACCCACTTGTTTTCTTCAAAATTAAAAACAAAGAAAACCAAACCAACTCTAAAATCTATTTTTCCTGAATAGTTTTTGAAAAATGTAAAATGAAAAAGTTATTTTTGTTCAATTATCACTACTGTAGTATAACTTTCTACAGAACTTACAAATTAATGTTTTACTTACTTTGTGTATTAAATATTTTCTGTGACTTGGCCTAAAGGCTTTTTTATCCATGAGAAAGTATGTTCTGAGTTCAGAATATCCAACATACCCCCAAGTGGGGAACCCTTTCCTAACCCTGGCACCTGCGTGCCCTGCACTGACCGTTTCTTCTGACGCAGTGGGAGCCGTGGACCCTGCACCAAGAGGAGCAGACACACAGGAGGCGGAAGCAGTCCCCGCAGAGGTGATGGACGTGGCAGAGGGAAAGGCAGCAGTGCTGGCCACTCCCATGGCTGCTGCTGCTGAGGACGGTGCTGGGGCGGCTCCTGAGGGTATCGGAGCCGAAGGATCCAGATGAACAGGACCATACTCTTCCTTCTTACTATTTGTGAAGTCTAGCCGTAAAAATCACAAGTTAATTCCATTTACAGTCTTCCAAGTTAAGATTACTTTTGTCTCCCAACAATTTTAATACATAATAGCTACAATTTGGTCTTAACAGAAATGTGTACAAATTTGTCATATATTCTATACATGTTTAGTTAATAGTTTGGCACTGTTAACTGATTAATGTCAGCATTAACTACTGAAGACTTCAAATCACTTCCTTCAACTTGTGAAAGCAAATGAATGATTTGCTCTTACTTAAAAGAAAAAAATTCTGTACTCAGGTGGGACCTCACAACCATTAAAATAATAAGGTCACACTGAGGATTTATGTCCTTTTGTGTTAATTTATGCAACTATCCTGATAAATGTCCTGATATTTAGATCTTTAGAATAATTTTTTGATATCAACATACCCTCTCATTTCCTTCCGCTGCTCCTATCCTAACAAAAATAGTGTATTTTTATTGATTTTTCAGCAAACAATAATAAATCAATAAGTAAATCTTGACACTGTAAAAGAAATAAGCTCTTGCAGGTGGATTATTTGAGTCATGAATTAAGAGCATATTTGCACACTTAACTGATTTTAGTGACACACATATAGTAACTTTCTCTTAAAACTGAACCTTAACCTTAGATCAAAGGAGTGAATAACCTCATTTTCTAGAGAAACTAGGACTAAGGATCCTATTTTATTTTGTTAATCCTCACCCAAGGATATTTTTCCATTGAATTTTTAAATTTATTTTTATTTATTTTTTTAGGGAGAGTAGAAGAGAGAAGGAAAGACATAAACATCAATGTGAGAAAAACACACTGACTGGCTGCCTCCTGCATGAGCCCTGACCAGGGCCCGGGCTGGGAGGCACCAATAACGAAGGTACACGCCTTTAAGTGGAATTGAACCTGGGACCTTTTGGTCCGCAGGCAACACTCTATCCACTGAGCCAAACCAGGTAGGGCAACTAAGGGTTCTGTTTTATATTTTCCATCCCAATATTAGAATTCGGTTAAAATTTCTACTTAAAACCATATTTTTGTGATACCAAAGAAAGGGTGAGGGTTTTCAGAATATCTGAATGGAGTATGTAACCCTATCTACACTAATAAAAGAGAAACATGGTAATTGGCGTACGACCGCTACCCTTTTCATTGGCTAATCAGCAAGATATGCAAATTAACTGTCAGCCAAGATGGTGGCCGGCAGCCAGGCAGCTTGAAACTAACATGAGGCTTGGTTGCCTCAGTGACAGAGGAAACCAACGTTCCCCGCCTGCGGCTGCAGGCCTCTGAGCGGGCAGTTTAAGAAACATTGTAACAAATACTGCCGGACTTCAGCCAGCGGAGGCCTAAGAGCTGGAGCCAAGCCTCAAGCTAAAGCTGGCCCAGAATAAAAAAAAAAAAAAAAAAAAAAAGGAAAAAAGGAGCGTTTGGGAGTTCAGTCACCCCCAGCCAGAAAATAGCCCTCAGCCCCTCACCCAGATTTGCCAGGCACCCCAGTGGGGACCCCCACCCTGAAGGGTGTGTGACCAGCTGCAAACAGCCATCATCCCCTCACCCAGGCTGGCCAGGAACCCCAGTGGGGACCCCCACCCTGATCCAGGACACCCTTCAGGGCAAACGAGCTGGCCCCCACCCATGCACCAGGCCTCTGCCCTATATAGTAAAAGCATAATATGCCTCCCAGCACCAGGATCAGCGGAGCCACGAGGCCTCCCGGCACCAGGATCAGCATGACAGGGGGCAGCGCCCAAACCCCCTGATCGGCCCTGCGGCTCTGTGTGTGACAGGGGGCGGGGCCACAACCCCCCCCCCCCCCCCCGGCCCTGCTCTGTGTGTGACGGGGTAGAGCCATAACCTCCCCATCGGCCCTGCCCTGAGTGTGAGAGTGGCGGCGCCCCAACCCCCTGATCGACCCTGCTCTGTGGGTGATAGAGGGTGGTGCCCCAACCCCCCCGCCCCCCCACGGGCCCTGCTCTGTGTGTGATGGGGTAGAGCCATAACCTCCCCATCAGCCCTGCCCTGAGTGTGACAGTGGCGGCGCCCCAATCCCCTGATTGGCCCTGCTCTGTGGGTGATAGAGGGCGGCGCCCCAACCCACTGATCCGCCCTGCTCTGTGACAGGGGACGGTGCCCCAACTCCCCTATCGGACCTACTCTGTGAGTGACAGGGGGGAGCTCCTCAACCCCGATGGGCCCTGCTCTGTGCATGACAGGGTACGGAGCCCCAACTCCCCTGATGGGCCCTGCTCTGTGTGTGACAGGAGGCAGTGCCCCAACCCCCGGATTGGCCCTGCTCCTGCTCTGTGCGTGATAGGGGGTCGTGCCACAACCTCCCCATCGACCTTGCCTTGAGTGTGACAGGGGGTGGTGCCCCAACCCCCCAATCGGCCCTGCTCTGAGCCCGACCAGGGGCTGCACCTAGGGATTGGGCCTGCCCTCTGCCACCCGGGAGCAGGCCTAAGCCAGCAGGTCGTTATCTCCCGAGGGGTCCCAGACTGCTAGAGGGCACAGGCCGGACTGAGGGACCCCCCCTTCCCCCCGAGTGCACAAATTTTTGTGCACCGGGCCTCTAGTGTTTAAATAGTTTTCTGTGTTGTCCTCTTTCCATCTAGAAATACGGGCTTTTGTGTAAGTCCTTTTCTTATACTAAATTTATATAAAAAATATAAACTTTGATTAACAAAGTTTAATGAGGACTATAATGCACGTGTCCTTTGAAATCATTTGATGAAAGGGGCTAATTCAATATAAAATACTGCTTTTGCTTTGAAATCAACACATACACATACTGAGTTTTAACATGCTTTTGATAGAAAGTGAGTCTGACTATCTGTTTTTAGGTGGGTGCCAGACTTCATATCAGATGTGGGACCAGTACACAGGTCAGGTCTGGCCAAGGGGCTCCCTGAAAGAGAGACAGATGACCCAGTCTCCCTTACCTGGGTGGAGTATGCAGTTTGTAAGTTTTAATAATTATTCTTGCTTTAACTGGGATAAATTTTTTCAATTGTTAAGTATTTTTCTACTCTTCCTAAAATTGCTTTGAAAATTGGCAGGTATAATTTTAAAGGCCATTTTTATTGTCACACTTTGCCTTCTCTTTTTAAAATATATTTTTATTGATTTCAGAGAGGAAGGAAGAGGGGGTTAGAAACATCAACAATGAAAGAAAATCATTGACTGGCTGCCTCCTGCATGCCCCTCACTGGGGATCCAGCCCACAACCCGGGCATGTACCCCGCCCGACCGGGAATTGAACCGTGACCTCCTGATTCATGGGTCGATGCTCAACCACTAAGCCACTCTGGCCAGCCACACTTTGCCTTCTTCATAGAAACTTCTAACTTACAAATATAAGATTTAGGATATTGCACAACATGAGATACATTGCAGATGATAGCAAAAAATCAGGACAAATAAAAAAAAATCAAATACTAGTTTTTTTCTAACAAGACAGATACATTAGGAACATTGCATTATTAAAAACTACATTTAAAAAAGCGATTGTTTTAAGGGAGGAAAGGGGACCAGTTGTAATTTTTTTCTTGTGAGAACTAATAGCTGTTATTAAAATGCCACAAAACCTAAATATCACAGAGTAATCCCAGCATTAGATCACAGTGAACTTTGCCTTTGGTAGCTCCCCCAGCCCTATTGCTTACTGTGTGTCTTATTATTCCTGGTATCTTTATCCCTCATTATGATAAACATAGCACAAGGCCACTCAAGACCATTGGGTTCCCAGAACTTGGCATTAGCTGCAGAAGACAGTGGATGTAAAAGCAACAGGAGCAAAACAAATCATGTTGGGTAATTATCAGAATACATTTTCTTCAAATCCTGTTATGGATGTTTGCCTGTAGGAGACATAGCTGTATTTGAATTTAAAATTTAAGATGATCAATTTATAGAGGTGGCAAAATACTCAGTCCTAAGTCAATTCATGTGAATAAGTATGTTATGAAAAACAGATTTCTTGTAATTAAATGCAAGAAGTTCTAATAATAATTTGTCACCTTACTTGTGGAACCTAATATCTCTTCTGAGTAGATAATTAAATTCTTCAATTTAATACATAAAACTTGCTAATAATTGTAACTAAAAGCAGACTAGTCTATTATTGGGGGTGGTGAGTTTGTTTTCAGCATTGATACTCAATTAAAAGACCATTTATTAGAGAAATTAAGCACACTTTGGGGTATCAGCAAGATAAACTATTTAGCCTTGATAATCTATAATTCTATGTTTCTAACCTACAGATGGGCCATACACCCCAACTGTTTCAGAGAGAAAACAATTTGCTTTAATTCACTGTCACCCACAACATGCACAGTTTATATAATAAAAGTTTGTTGATGTTTTAAAATTAAGCACAGAGAAGTTATTCACTGGAATGAAATCATGTTAATGACGTTACAAAATGAAACTGCCTCATGGGTAAGTTAACCATGAGTCTTGGATAGGATTTACTATCAGGGAATACTGCAAAATGTTCGTGTTTCACATGAAACATGGGAGGCTGACTTGAATGAATTAAGACTACAGTAATGTCCAGCTGGTGTGGCTTAGTGGTTGAGCGTCAACCTACGAACCAGGAGATCATGGTTCGATTCCAGGTCAGAGTATATGCCCGGGTTGCAGGCTTGATCCCCAGTGTGGGGGGTGCAGAAGAAAGTTGATCAACGATTTTTCTCTCATCAATGATGTTTCTATCTCTCTCTCCCTCTCCCTTCCTCTCTGAAATCAATAAAAATATATATTTTTAAAAAGCCACTGTAAAATAAAAAATACTTTAGCATGTAAGATGATAGTCATGCTATAATTACTACAATCTTTTTAAAAAGTGTATTTCAAAAGAATCTCTCTATTAAGCTAAATAAGGTAAAGAAGGTTTATATTATCCTGTTTGTTCAGAGAAGAAAACCAAAGCCCAATAAGGAAACTAGGCCTCAATGCAAATTGGTGGCAAAGGACTCTTGTCATGTGCTCATCTAAGCCATGTTCATGAAACTGACACAACTCAGATCCGAGCCAATACATGGATTTTTCTTGAAATAATTTTCTAATTTTTTATTTCTATAGACAGATCTATATTTATAACTTTTGGAAATGAGTTTTAATTGCGGTTTCTCTTAAACTGGAAAACAAGCAATTTTTAAAAATGGAAAACCATGACTAGATAAGAAATATTTAATCAACAAAATAGTCCAAGGAAACTGGCTACTTAGGGAAAGACAAAAATAGAAATTTTGCACTTAAAGGCATTATACATTCAAAGCATTGTTGTAACTCTGAGCGTATATACTTAAGAGTTTAAGTAACCCTGAGTAGTGAATTTTCATGATGGATTTAAAACTGGATATGACACTATGAAGTTAAAAATACAGTGCCTGGTCCCAGCTGGTTTGCTCAGTGGATAGAGCGTCGGCCTGCAGGCTGAAGGGTCCCGGGTTCAATTCTGGTCAAGGGCACATGCCTGGGTTGCGGGCTCCATCCCCAGTAGGGGGGCATGCAGGAGGCAGCCAATCAATGATTCTCTCTCTCCCTTCTTCTCTGAAATTAATTAAAAAAATACATATATATTAAAGAGAAAATACAATACCTGGATAAGACATATCTATTGCAAAAAATTAGTACTAAAGACCACAGTAATCACTGAAATCTCAAATTCTTTTTGAAAGTAGGCAGAGACTCTAAAGTAAAACACTAACCTGCATCATTTCTGTTTTGAAACATTGTCATGGCTTCAAGATTTAATGCACACACCCCCCGCATGAAAGCTTTCTTCATGGAATCTTCAAAGTGCTCTTTTTCATGTTGCATTCTTTGGATCTCAGCTTTTGCATTTTCCAAAGCTCCAGATAACTAAAATAAGGCGAATTTTTTTTAAAAAGGGTTGTAATACAAGGAAGGATATTATTTATTGTTAAAAAGTAGACTTACACTGTGAAGTATTTTTAGGTGAAATACAGGTACTAAAAACACTTTGCCACATGCCTCTTCTGCTATGTGTCTCACTTTATTTTAAATGGTGCATCTTACTTTTAGTGTCTTTCAATAAACCATTTCCATTTCTAACCATAAAGTCAAGGTTCAAACAAAGGGAATTGTATACCAGTCCCACTGAAGCTTGCTGATGTGTTTTAATTATACAAAAAGATATACCATTTCTTACCATAAATCTTTTATGTAGAATATTAAACAAAATACATTAGGAGCCACAAGTAGCCCTCTCTCCTTTAGAAAAAAAAAATAACTAAGTGCCTGTAATATTAACAGCATTTTAAAAAACTAAATGATACTATAGAATTTAAAGTGCAAAGTGATATTAGTTGCAACACATTTTCCCATAGACGAAATATATAGGGACTCCATTTTTTGCATGTCATTTTCAATTGCAGAAAATTGTTTGTATTATGATACTGATTTTTAACATTAAGAACTTTGTACTATAATAATGAAATATTTTTTCCTTTTAGTATTTTATTTCAAGAGGCCTACTGCATTCTACAATACAGCTTTTATTTCATTTTGAGTCTCAAATGTTTTCCCATGGAAATGTTAATTTTATTATTAGAAGTCAATGGGAAAATAATTCCAATTTGTATCTAACTGCTTTAAATCAACCTTATATGAATAAAGTTTATTTAAATTAACAAGAGGATAAACATTTTTGGTTTTGGTCTCTATTCTTGGCTAAATAAAAGCCAAAAGAAGTATAAGAAAGCATGCTTTGAGAGACATAAGGATCTATGAGTGATTTACATTTTCAAGACACATGTACACACAAGAGTTCCAACGTAAGTTTGGAGGCCAGAGTTATAACTTTTAAAGAATAAATAAGTCTGTAAATCTGACTCATTAGTGTTGTTCTTCCCCAAATAGTCACATAGTCTCATTTGAAGATACACTGCATTAAATGGAATTAGAAATGGGTCACTCTGCCTAACTATAATGTAACAATGAGTGATGCTACCCATCTTGTTTATTTCTATTAAAGGAAAGTAAAAATAAATTAAAAAATAGAAGTTTTACCACAGCAACTTTGTTTTCATAATCATTGGAAATTTGGACACAAACTTCTTCAGCTCTTGCTTGACAAGCTCGCTCCACCAAGTCCTTCCACTTCTTTTGCACCGTAGAATGCCAGCCTATCCACACTTTCTTCAGTAAATTTCTCTGGAAGTACTGGTCAGCTAGTTTCCCTTCATAAGCCTAAATGAAAGTATTATAACCTTAAAACACAGTGCACTGGTAAATACACTGGCAGTAATAAAAAGAAACCTAACACGGTGGTGAGCAGTACACACACATTATTATTTAATCCTGTGTAGTTATTCTTATCTGCATAGAGGAGAACAGGCTTATAGAGGTTAGGTAACCTGCCCAAGTAGACAGGGAAAAGCCATCCTTGCCTCATTCCAGAGCCTAAGCTCTTTCTTATCCATTACACATCATTGTTTTATGTAACTAATCAAGTTAGGGGGAAAACAACAACAAAAAACAAATGAAAGAAAATGAGTAACTTGCCACTTGCCATCTTAGTTCTGAATCTGCATGACCCTTTAGCTGAAACCAGGACTAGGACAACAGAGTGGTTGGAAGGCAAAAAGGTAACTGTGGCTTGAGATGGCATTATTCTCCCTTCAGCTTGGTGGACACCACCATAAGCAAGATTAATTTAATTTACAGACTTTCATCATATATAGTGCCAAACTGATTCAAACAGAAACATATGCTATTCTTTTTAATCAATGAATCTAAATTCTTTTGAAGAAGTAGTTCCAATCTAATTTCAATCTTCTTAAATTTGAAAAGTTATTCAAAAAGTGATGGCAGCCTCAATTATTTCAGCTAACATAAAAAAATATATATTCTCATTATGTCACTTGATAAATAACTTTCAAAATATGGTCTAAATACTCATATTTTAAATAGCTCTTTTCAGTCTGATTAATG